CCTCCTCTCAACGGTCAATCAACTGTTGTACAAATTCCTGAGCCTACTGGGCTCTATCTGGTTGATGGGGTTCTGGGAGTTCTTCTACTCCCCAAGCCCGGCCCGAGGCCAGGCTTGACTTGCGAGAGTTTGGTCCACCAGGCTGTTGCTTGGAGCGGCCCGCAGGCCCAAATACTCACCACAGCCCGGTTGGTCCGGCACTCCTTGGACGAAACAATCTTGTTTCCTCTTGAAGATGTCCACGATTGTTCCGGCAATATTTCTTATGCTTGCTGGGAGGACGTTGAACAACCGCGGACCTCTGATGTTTATACAGTGTTCTCTGATTGTGCCTATGGCACCTCTGCTCTTCACTGGTTCTATTCTGCATTTTCTTCCATATCGTTCACTCCAGTACGTTGTTATTTTACTGTGCAGATTTTGTACTTTGCCCTCCAGTATCTTCCACGTGTATATTATTGAAATCTTTCTCATCTCCTTTCTAGTGAGTACTTTTGGAGGGCTTTGAAACGATCCCAATAATTTAGGTGTTTTATCGCGTCTATGCGTGCCGTATATGTTCTCTGTATTCCCTCTATTTCAGCAATCTCTCCTGCTCTGAAGGGGGAAGTGAGAGCTGAGTAGTACTCAAGACGGGACAACACAAGTGACTTGAAGAGTACAACCATTGTGATGGGATCCCTGGATTTGAAAGTTCTCGTAATCCATCCTATCATTTTTCTGGCTGACGCAATATTTGCTTGGTTATGCTCCCTAAACGTTAGGTCGTCAGACATTATTATTCCCAAATCCTTTACATGTTGCTTTCCTACTATGGGTACATTTGATTGTGTTTTGTACCCTGTATTATGTTTAAGGTCCTCATTTTTACCGTGCCTGAGTACCTGCAATATATCACTGTTAAACATCATGTTATTTTCTGTTGCCCAGTCGAAAACTTTATTAATATCTGCTTGCAGTTTTTCAATGTCTTCAGCCGAGGTAATTTTCCTGCTGATTTTTGTGTCAACTGCAAAGGACGATACGAATCTGTGATTTGTATTTTTGTCTGTATCTGATATGAGAATAAGGAAAACTAGCGGTGCAAGAACTGTACCCTGAGGTACAGAGCTTTTAACTGCGCTTGGACTCGATTTTTGTTGGTTGACCGTTACTCGCTGAGTCCTGTTTGACAGAAAACTGAGTGTCCAGCATCCTACTTTACCGGTTATTCCCATTGACTTCATTTTGTGTGCTATCACTCCATGGTCACATTTATCGAAAGCTTTTGCGAAGTCCGTGTATACCACATCAGCATTCTGTTTTTCTTCTAATGTCTCAGCGACTTTGTCGTAGTGATCAAGTAGCTGTGAGAGGCACGATCTTCCCGCTGTAAATCCATGTTGGCCCATGTTATCATATCTACATTTGAAACTGTGTATGGAGTCAGCCTTCACCACATCACTACCTAATGCATTCCACCTGTTAACTACTCTGACACTGAAAAAGTTCTTTCTAACGTCCCTGTGGCTCATTTGGGTACTGAAGAAGCATATAAGGAAACTGGAAAAGGTTCAGTGGTTTGCAACGAGACTCGTCCCAGAGTTACGAGGGATGGGGTATGAGGAGCGCCTGAAGGAACTGTGCCTTACGACACTATAAAGAATGGAGAGGGGGGGACATGATAGGAACGTATAAAATATTCAGGGGGATTGACAGAGTGGATATAGAGGAAATGTTCACGCGGAATAGTAACAAAACGAGGGGACATGGGTGGAAGCTTGAAACTCAGATGAGTCACAGAGATGTTAGGAAGTTTTCTTTTAGCGTGAGAGTAGTGGAAAAATGGAATGCACTTCAGGAACAGGTTGTGGAAGTAAATACTATTCATAATTTTAAAACCAGGTATGATAGGGAAATAGGACCATAGTCATTGCTGTAAACAACCGATGCTCGAAAGGCGGGATCCAAGAGTCAATGCTGGATCCTGCAGACACAACTAGGTGAGTACACACACACACGCCACGTGGTGGTGGCCGGTGGGTGACTTAAGACCGAAAAATCGTCACACTCCAACATGGTAACGCTTTAGAAATTAAAATACTGTCCCGTTTTCTGTTTTGGGTCCTCTGGAGGGTTAAAATAAGGAACTTCAGCACGACTGTTTCTTGACGTTGGGAAACCTTAGGCGGAGAGGCTGCAGGATTCACAGTCCACGGACCTGGGTTCGATTCCTGGTGGAGGAAGAAACAAACGCGCAGTTTCTTTCACCTGATGCCACTATCACACAAATACGACTGTCCGTCTATTTCTACCTCGACCGGGAATCGGACTCGGGTCCGTGGACTGCGACACCTGATCGCCGTGTGTGTGTGTGTGTGTGTGTATTGTGATTTACACCCGGCACCCGCAGGACCCCTGGCACCCCCAGGACCCCTGGCACCCCCAGGACCCCAGGCACCCTCATTACCCCTGGCACCCCAGGACCCCTGGCACACCCAGGACCCCTGGCACCCCAGGACCCCTGGCACCCCAGGACCCCTAGCACACCCAGGACCCCTAGCACCCCCCAAGACCCCAGGCACCCCCAGGACCCCTGGCACACCCAGGACCCCTGGCACCCACAGGACAGCCTCCAGAACACTGGGGGACACTGGAGGACACTGGGGGGGCACTGGGGGATACTGGGGGACACTGGAGGACACTGGGGGACACTGGAGGACACTGGGGGACACTGGGGGACACTGGAGGACACTGGGGGACACTGGAGGACACTGGGGGACACTGGGAGGCACTGGGGGACACTGGAGGACACTGGGGGACACTGGGGGACACTGGAGGACACTGGGGGACACTGGAGGACACTGGGGGACACTGGGGGACACTGGAGGACACTGGGGGACACTGGAGGACACTGGGGGACACTGGAGGACACTGGGGGACACTGGAGGACACTGGGGGACACTGGGGGACACTGGGGGACACTGGAGGACACTGGGGGACACTGGAGGACACTGGAGGACACTGGAGGACACTGGGGGACACTGGAGGACACTGGGGGACACTGGAGGACACTGGGGGACACTGGGGGACACTGGAGGACACTGGGGGGCACTGGGGGACACTGGGGGACACTGGGGGACACTGGAGGACACTGGAGGACACTGGAGGACACTGGGGGACACTGGAGGACACTGGGGGACACTGGGGGACACTGGGGGACACTGGAGGACACTGGAGGACACTGGGGGACACTGGGGGACACTGGGGGACACTGGAGGACACTGGGGGACACTGGGGGACACTGGGGGACACTGGGGGACACTGGAGGACACTGGGGGACACTGGGGGACACTGGGGGACACTGGAGGACACTGGGGGACACTGGGGGACACTGGAGGACACTGGGAGGACACTGGGGGACACTGGAGGACACTGGGGGACACTGGAGGACACTGGGGGACACTGGGGGACACTGGGGGACACTGGGGGACACTGGAGGACACTGGGGGACACTGGGGGACACTGGGGGACACTGGAGGACACTGGAGGACACTGGAGGACACTGGGGGACACTGGGGGACACTGGGGGACACTGGAGGACACTGGGGGACACTGGAGGACACTGGGGGACACTGGAGGACACTGGAGGACACTGGGGGACACTGGGGGACACTGGAGGACACTGGAGGACACTGGGGGACACTGGGGGACACTGGGGGACACTGGGGGACACTGGAGGACACTGGAGGACACTGGAGGACACTGGGGGACACTGGGGGACACTGGAGGACACTGGGGGACACTGGAGGACACTGGGGGACACTGGGGGACACTAGAGGACACTGGAGGACACTGGAGGACACTGGGGGACACTGGGGGACACTGGAGGACACTGGAGGACACTGGAGGACACTGGGGGGACACTGGGGGACACTGGGGGACACTGGGGGACACTGGAGGACACTGGAGGACACTGGGGGACACTGGGGGACACTGGAGGACACTGGGGGACACTGAGGGACACTGGAGGACACTGGGGGACACTGGGGGACACTGGGGGACACTGGGGGACACTGGAGGACACTGGAGGACACTGGGGGACACTGGGGGACACTGGAGGACACTGGAGGACACTGGGGGACACTGAGGGACACTGGAGGACACTGGGGGACACTGGAGGACACTGGGGGACACTGGAGGACACTGGGGGACACTGGGGGACACTGGGGGACACTGGAGGACACTGGGGGACACTGGGGGACACTGGAGGACACTGGAGGACACTGGGGGACACTGGGGGACACTGGAGGACACTGGAGGACACTGGGGGACACTGGAGGACACTGGGGGACACTGGGGGACACGGGGGGACACTGGGGGACACTGGGGGACACTGGAGGACACTGGAGGACACTGGGGGACACTGGGGGACACTGGGGGACACTGGAGGACACTGGAGGACACTGGGGGACACTGGAGGACACTGGGGGACACTGGGGGACACTGGGGGACACTGGGGGACACTGGGGGACACTGGGGGACACTGGAGGACACTGGGGGACACTGGAGGACACTGGGGGACACTGGGGGACACTGGAGGACACTGGTGGACACTGGAGGACACTGGGGGACACTGGGGGACACTGGAGGACACTGGAGGACACTGGGGGACACTGGAGGACACTGGGGGACACTGGGGGACACTGGAGGACACTGGAGGACACTGGAGGACACTGGAGGACACTGGGGGACACTGGGGGACACTGGGGGACACTGGAGGACACTGGAGGACACTGGGGGACACTGGGGGACACTGGGGGACACTGGGGGACACTGGAGGACACTGGGGGACACTGGGGGACACCACCAGTGTCGGAGGGGGAAGTGTGCGCCTCGGAGGGACCATTAACCAGGCAAGACACTGCAGGACACTGGGGGACACTGGAGGACACTGGGGGACACTGGGGGACACCACCAGTGTCGGAGGGGGAAGTGTGCGCCTCGGAGGGACCATTAACCAGGCAAGACACTGCCATTAAAGGCAACAAATGAAGCAATTTGATATTCAACACCAGATAGTTGGTCGTCGTGTGTGGCTCACTGCTGGCCTCTCCAGACCTTCTTAATCCTTCTTCATCCTCCTCAACCCATCTTATATGGCTTCTTAATCCTTCTTCATCCTCCTCAACCCATCTTATATGACTTCTTAATCCTTCTTCATCCTCCTCAACCCATCTTATATGACTTCTTAATCCTTCTTCATCCTCCTCAACCCATCTTATATGGCTTCTTAATCCTTCTTCATCCTCCTCAACCCATCTTATATGGCTTCTTAATCCTTCTTCATCCTCCTCAACCCATCTTATATGACTTCTTAATCCTTCTTCATCCTCCTCAACCCATCTTATATGGCTTCTTAATCCTTCTTCATCCTCCTCAACCCATCTTATATGGCTTCTTAATCCTTCTTCATCCTCCTCAACCCATCTTATATGGCTTCTTAATCCTTCTTCATCCTCCTCAACCCATCTTATATGACTTCTTAATCCTTCTTCATCCTCCTCAACCCATCTTATATGACTTCTTAATCCTTCTTCATCCTCCTCAACCCATCTTATATGACTTCTTAATCCTTCTTCATCCTCCTCAACCATCTTATATGACTTCTTCATCCTCCTCAACCCATCTGTGATCAATCTCAGTTGGACTAAGCGTGAGTAAGTGCATCAAGACAAGAAGTACAGTGGCCTGGGAGACGGTGGGTTGATGTATACCCAGACGTGCTCTCCCACCGTCAACAAGCTCGGTGGACGACGGGGCGTGACAGTCAACGTCAACATTCTTGCCATGGTCAACATAAAACACGATTTTCAACGGTGACAAATACCAATTACTTGGGTCCGGAAATATAAAAAGGTCTTAAAGTATGTATAGAACATATAGCACAGTCAGATCTCCTGGAACATACCTGGAGAGGGTTTCGGGAGTTGTGATAACTTGATCCAACAGGCTGTTGCTTGGAGCGGCCCGCAGGCTCACATGTCATGTCCACTACAGATTGGTTGGTCCGACACTTCTTACAAGAACTTGTCTAAGTGACTATTGAAGGGCTCCACCTTTGTTCCGGCAATATTTCTAATGCTTGCTAGGAGGGTGTTGAACAGCTGTGGACCTCTGATGTTCAAACAATGTTCTTTGATTGTGCCTATGGCACCTCTACTCCTCACTGGTTCTATTCTGCATTTCCTTCCGTACCTTTCGCTCCAGTATGTTGTTATAATACTGTACACATTTGGGACCTGGCCCTCCAGTGTCTATGTTACCTGGTTACCTGGTTGATGGGGTTCTGGGAGTTCTTCTACTCCCCAAGCCCGGCCCGAGGCCAGGCTTGACTTGTGAGAGTTTGGTCCACCAGGCTGTTGCTTGGAGCAGCCCGCAGGCCCACATACCCACAACAGCCCGGTTGGTCCGGCACTCCTTGGAGGAATAAATCTAGTTTCCTCTTGAAAATGTCCACGATTGTTCCGGCAATATTTCTTATGCTTGCTGGGAGGACGTTGAACAACCGCGGACCTCTGATGTTTATACAGTGTTCTCTGATTGTGCCTATGGCACCTCTGCTCTTCACTGGTTCTATTCTGCCTTTTCTTCCATATCGTTCACTCCAGTACGTTGTTATTTTACTGTGTAGATTTGGTACTTGGCCCTCCAGTATCTTCCAGGTGTATATTATTTGATATCTCTCTCGTCTTCTTTCTAGTGAGTACATTTGGAGGGCTTTGAGACGATCCCAAAAATTTAAGTACTTTATCGCGTCTATGCGTGACGTATATGTTCTCCGTATTCCCTCTATTTCAGCAATCTCTCCTGCTCTGAAGGGGGAAGTGAGTACTGAGCAGTACTCAAGACGGGACAACACAAGTGACTTGAAGAGTACAACCATTGTGATGGGATCCCTGGATTTGAAAGTTCTCGTAATCCATCCTATCATTTTTCTGGCTGTCGCAATATTTGCTTGGTTATGCTCCTTAAACGTTAGGTCGTCAGACATTATTATTCCCAAATCCTTTACATGCTGTTTTCCTACTATAGGTACATTTGATTGTGTTTTGTACTCTGTATTATGTTTAAGGTCCTCATTTTTCCCGTACCTGAGTACCTGGAATTTATCACTGTTAAACATCATGTTACTTTCTGATGCCCAGTCGAAAACTGTATTAATATCGGCTTGAAGTTTTTCAATGTCTTCAGCCGAGGTAATTTTCATACTGATTTTTGTGTCATCTGCAAAGGATGATACGAAGCTGTGACTTGTATTTTTGTCTATATCTGATATGTGAATAAGGAAAAGCAGCGGTGCAAGGACTGTACCCTGAGGTACAGAGCTTTTAACTGCACTTGGACTAGATTTTATATGGTTGACAGTTACTCGCTGAGTCCTGTTTGACAGAAAACTGAGTATCCAGCGTCCTACTTTACCGGTTATTCCCATTGACTTCATTTTGTGTGCTATCACGCCATGGTCACATTTAACGAAAGCCTTTGCGAAGTCCGTGTATATCACATCAGCATTCTGTTTTTCTTCTAATGCCTCAGTGACTTTGTCGTAGTGCTCAAATAGCTGTGAGAGACACGATCTTCCCGCTCGAAATCCATGTGTATATGTTACGTATATGTTATTTGAACTTTCTCGTCTACTTTCCGGAGAGCACACTTTGAGACAGTCGCAATTTTTTACATGTTTCATCGTGTCTATTCGTGTCATAAAGGCTCTCTGCATTCCCTCTTAACTCAGAGATTTCTCCTGCTCTGAAAGGGAAAGTGAGAACTGAGAAGCACTCTAAACGAGACAGCACCAGTGATATCAATAATATAATCATTGCTGTGGGGTTCTGGATTTGAACGTTCTCATAATCCATCCTATCATTTTCCTGGCCGCCGCCGCTATTTTTGCTCGGTTATGTTCACTAAATGTCAGGTCGTCAGACATCATAATTCCAAGATCTTTTACATGTTGCTTTCCTGCTATGAGTATGTCTGAGTGTGTCCTGTACCCTGTGTTAAGTTCCTCGTTTACACCATAACTCACCACCTGGAACTTGTCACTGTTAAACACCATGTTATTTTCTCTTGCCCAGTCGAAGACTTTATTAATATCTCCCTGCAGGTTTTCAGTGTCTTCTACAGAGGAAATTTTCATGCTGATTTTTGTATCATCTGCTTTTGTCTATATCCGAGATAATAATGAGAAATACAGCGGTGCACGGACTGTGCCCTGGGGTACAGAGCAGCAGTGCACGGACTGTGCCCTGGGGTACAGAGCAGCAGTGCACGGACTGTGCCCTGGGGTACAGAGCAGCAGTGCACGGACTGTGCCCTGGGGTACAGAGCAGCAGTGCACGGACTGTGCCCTGGGGTACAGAGCAGCAGTGCACGGACTGTGCCCTGGGGTACAGAGCAGCAGTGCACGGACTGTGCCGTGGGGTACAGAGCAGCAGTGCACGGACTGTGCCCTGGGGTACAGAGCAGCAGTGCACGGACTGTGCCCTGGAGTACCGAGCAGCAGTGCACGGACTGTACCCTGGGGTACCGAGCAGCGGTGCACGGACTGTGCCCTGGGGTACCGAGCAGCAGTGCACGGACTGTACCCTGGGGTACCGAGCAGCAGTGCACGGACTGTGCCCTGGGGTACCGAGCAGCAGTGCACGGACTGTACCCTGGGGTACCGAGCAGCGGTGCACGGACTGTGCCCTGGGGTACCGAGCAGCAGTGCACGGACTGTACCCTGGGGTACCGAGCAGCAGTGCACGGACTGTGCCCTGGGGTACCGAGCAGCAGTGCACGGACTGTACCCTGGGGTACCGAGCAGCGGTGCACGGACTGTGCCCTGGGGTACCGAGCAGCGGTGCACGGACTGTGCCCTGGGGTACCGAGCAGCAGTGCACGGACTGTGCCCTGGGGTACAGAGCAGCAGTGCACGGACTGTGCCCTGGGGTACAGAGCAGCAGTGCACGGACTGTGCCCTGGGGTACCGAGCAGCAGTGCACGGACTGTTCCCTGGGGTACCGAGCAGCGGTGCACGGACTGTGCCCTGGGGTACCGAGCAGCAGTGCACGGACTGTACCCTGGGGTACCGAGCAGCAGTGCACGGACTGTGCCCTGGGGTACAGAGCAGCAGTGCACGGACTGTGCCCTGGGGTACCGAGCAGCAGTGCACGGACTGTACCCTGGGGTACCGAGCAGCGGTGCACGGACTGTGCCCTGGGGTACCGAGCAGCGGTGCACGGACTGTACCCTGGGGTACCGAGCAGCGGTGCACGGACTGTGCCCTGGGGTACCGAGCAGCGGTGCACGGACTGTGCCCTGGGGTACCGAGCAGCAGTGCACGGACTGTACCCTGGGGTACCGAGCAGCGGTGCACGGACTGTACCCTGGGGTACCGAGCAGCAGTGCACGGACTGTACCCTGGGGTACCGAGCAGCGGTGCACGGACTGTACCCTGGGGTACCGAGCAGCAGTGCACGGACTGTACCCTGGGGTACCGAGCAGCAGTGCACGGACTGTACCCTGGGGTACCGAGCAGGAGCACGGACTGTACCCTGGGGTACCGAGCAGCAGTGCACGGACTGTACCCTGGGGTACCGAGCAGCAGTGCACGGACTGTACCCTGGGGTACCGAGCAGCGGTGCACGGACTGTGCCCTGGGGTACCGAGCAGCAGTGCACGGACTGTACCCTGGGGTACCGAGCAGCAGTGCACGGACTGTACCCTGGGGTACCGAGCAGCAGTGCACGGACTGTACCCTGGGGTACCGAGCAGCAGTGCACGGACTGTGCCCTGGGGTACCGAGCAGCGGTGCACGGACTGTGCCCTGGGGTACCGAGCAGCAGTGCACGGACTGTACCCTGGGGTACCGAGCAGCAGTGCACGGACTGTGCCCTGGGGTACCGAGCAGCAGTGCACGGACTGTGCCCTGGGGTACAGAGCAGCAGTGCACGGACTGTGCCCTGGGGTACCGAGCAGCGGTGCACGGACTGTACCCTGGGGTACCGAGCAGCAGTGCACGGACTGTACCCTGGGGTACCGAGCAGCAGTGCACGGACTGTGCCCTGGGGTACCGAGCAGCAGTGCACGGACTGTGCCCTGGGGTACCGAGCAGCGGTGCACGGACTGTGCCCTGGGGTACCGAGCAGCAGTGCACGGACTGTACCCTGGGGTACCGAGCAGCAGTGCACGGACTGTGCCCTGGGGTACCGAGCAGCAGTGCACGGACTGTGCCCTGGGGTACCGAGCAGCAGTGCACGGACTGTGCCCTGGGGTACCGAGCAGCGGTGCACGGACTGTGCCCTGGGGTACCGAGCAGCAGTGCACGGACTGTGCCCTGGGGTACCGAGCAGCAGTGCACGGACTGTGCCCTGGGGTACAGAGCAGCAGTGCACGGACTGTGCCCTGGGGTACCGAGCAGCAGTGCACGGACTGTGCCCTGGGGTACCGAGCAGCGGTGCACGGACTGTGCCCTGGGGTACCGAGCAGCGGTGCACGGACTGTACCCTGGGGTACCGAGCAGCGGTGCACGGACTGTGCCCTGGGGTACCGAGCAGCGGTGCACGGACTGTACCCTGGGGTACCGAGCAGCGGTGCACGGACTGTACCCTGTGCACAGTGCACGGACTGTGCCCTGGGGTACCGAGCAGCAGTGCACGGACTGTGCCCTGGGGTACAGAGCAGCGGTGCACGGACTGTGCCCTGGGGTACCGAGCAGCAGTGCACGGACTGTACCCTGGGGTACCGAGCAGCAGTGCACGGACTGTACCCTGGGGTACCGAGCAGCGGTGCACGGACTGTACCCTGGGGTACCGAGCAGCAGTGCACGGACTGTGCCCTGGGGTACCGAGCAGCGGTGCACGGACTGTGCCCTGGGGTACCGAGCAGCAGTGCACGGACTGTACCCTGGGGTACCGAGCAGCGGTGCACGGACTGTGCCCTGGGGAGCAGCAGTGCACGGACTGTACCGAGCAGCAGTGCACGGACTGGACCCTGGGGTACCGAGCAGCGGTGCACGGACTGTACCCTGGGGTACCGATCAGCAGTGCACGGACTGTGCCCTGGGGTACCGAGCAGCAGTGCACGGACTGTGCCCTGGGGTACAGAGCAGCGGTGCACGGACTGTGCCCTGGGGTACCGAGCAGCAGTGCACGGACTGTGCCCTGGGGTACCGAGCAGCGGTGAGCAGTGCCCTGGTGCAGCGGTGCAGGACTGTGCCCTGGGGTACAGAGCAGCGGTGCAAGGACTGTGCCCTGGGGTACAGAGCAGCGGTGCAAGGACTGTGCCCTGGGGTACAGAGCAGCGGTGCAAGGACTGTGCCCTGGGGTACAGAGCAGCGGTGCAAGGACTGTGCCCTGGGGTACAGAGCAGCGGTGCAAGGACTGTGCCCTGGGGTACAGAGCAGCGGTGCAAGGACTGTGCCCTGGGGTACAGAGCAGCAGTGCAAGGACTGTGCCCTGGGGTACAGAGCAGCGGTGCAAGGACTGTGCCCTGGGGTACAGAGCAGCAGTGCAAGGACTGTGCCCTGGGGTACAGAGCAGCGGTGCAAGGACTGTGCCCTGGGGTACAGAGCAGCGGTGCAAGGACTGTGCCCTGGGGTACAGAGCAGCAGTGCAAGGACTGTGCCCTGGGGTACAGAGCAGCAGTGCAAGGACTGTGCCCTGGGGTACAGAGCAGCAGTGCAAGGACTGTGCCCTGGGGTACAGAGCAGCAGTGCAAGGACTGTGCCCTGGGGTACAGAGCAGCAGTGCAAGGACTGTGCCCTGGGGTACAGAGCAGCAGTGCAAGGACTGTGCCCTGGGGTACAGAGCAGCAGTGCAAGGACTGTGCCCTGGGGTACAGAGCAGCAGTGCAAGGACTGTGCCCTGGGGTACAGAGCAGCAGTGCAAGGACTGTGCCCTGGGGTACAGAGCAGCAGTGCAAGGACTGTGCCCTGGGGTACAGAGCAGCAGTGCAAGGACTGTGCCCTGGGGTACAGAGCAGCAGTGCAAGGACTGTGCCCTGGGGTACAGAGCAGCAGTGCAAGGACTGTGCCCTGGGGTACAGAGCAGCTGGTGCAAGGACTGTGCCCTGGGGTACAGAGCAGCGGTGCAAGGACTGTGCCCTGGGGTACAGAGCAGCGGTGCAAGGACTGTGCCCTGGGGTACAGAGCAGCAGTGCAAGGACTGTGCCCTGGGGTACAGAGCAGCGGTGCAAGGACTGTGCCCTGGGGTACAGAGCAGCGGTGCAAGGACTGTGCCCTGGGGTACAGAGCAGCAGTGCAAGGACTGTGCCCTGGGGTACAGAGCAGCGGTGCAAGGACTGTGCCCTGGGGTACAGAGCAGCGGTGCAAGGACTGTGCCCTGGGGTACAGAGCAGCAGTGCAAGGACTGTGCCCTGGGGTACAGAGCAGCGGTGCAAGGACTGTGCCCTGGGGTACAGAGCAGCGGTGCAAGGACTGTGCCCTGGGGTACAGAGCAGCGGTGCAAGGACTGTGCCCTGGGGTACAGAGCAGCGGTGCAAGGACTGTGCCCTGGGGTACAGAGCAGCGGTGCAAGGACTGTGCCCTGGGGTACAGAGCAGCGGTGCAAGGACTGTGCCCTGGGGTACAGAGCAGCGGTGCAAGGACTGTGCCCTGGGGTACAGAGCAGCGGTGCAAGGACTGTGCCCTGGGGTACAGAGCAGCGTGCAAGGACTGTGCCCTGGGGTACAGAGCAGCGGTGCAAGGACTGTGCCCTGGGGTACAGAGCAGCGGTGCAAGGACTGTGCCCTGGGGTACAGAGCAGCGGTGCAAGGACTGTGCCCTGGGGTACAGAGCAGCGGTGCAAGGACTGTGCCCTGGGGTACAGAGCAGCGTGCAAGGACTGTGCCCTGGGGTACAGAGCAGCGGTGCAAGGACTGTGCCCTGGGGTACAGAGCAGCGGTGCAAGGACTGTGCCCTGGGGTACAGAGCAGCGGTGCAAGGACTGTGCCCTGGGGTACAGAGCAGCGGTGCAAGGACTGTGCCCTGGGGTACTGTGCCCTGGGGTACAGAGCAGCGGTGCAAGGACTGTGCCCTGGGGTACAGAGCAGCGGTGCAAGGACTGTGCCCTGGGGTACAGAGCAGCGGTGCAAGGACTGTGCCCTGGGGTACAGAGC